GGTGCCCCTGCCTGGAGGCCCCGGCCTCTCGCCTCCTCACTGTTCCCTCTGTGGCTTGCTCCCTGCCCACGGCCTCTGCAGCCACCAGCCCCGCCCCTTGCCTGTCTTATCCAAGTGCCCTTCCCCAAACCCTGAGTGCCATTGCCCTCCCTCCCAAGCTTGTCTCTCAGTGGCCGAAGACCCCTTGGTGGGGGGCTTCCTCATCATCCTGCCCCCCCAACTGCAGCTGGAGCCGGGCACCTACACTCTCCACAGTGAGTTGGGGACAGGAGCTGGGGGTGGGCTTGGGAGCTCGGGAGGCAGATGTGGGGCCCAACAGAATGGGAAGTAGGGGCACAGGGCCTGGGGTCCAGCAGGCCTGGGCGTGCGTCCCAGCTCTGCCACCTCCTAACCGTGGGCGCTTGGTGGGTTTCCTCTCTCAGCCTCTCCCTGACCTTTCTCCCCAGTCCTCCCGAAGCCTCCACCGTGCCCTAGGCGCTGATATTTGCAGGGTGAAGAGCAGCCCGCCTGCTTGTCTGCTGACCCAAGCCCTACTGGCTGTGGGCGCCCCCCACCCCGCCCCGGCCTTCTGTCTTATTGGCCACAGGCTGGCAGTGCTGCCCAGGCCCCCCAGTCCCCTCCTCCCAACTGTACCCACTCTGACCCTGGCCCCTCTAATAAACTCGTGTCTACAGGACACCGACTGTGCTTAGGCCCTGGCCTGGCTCCTTGACCCAGGGTAGGGGTAGGGAGGGAATTGGAGGGGGGGGGGTCTGCCAGCTTTAGGTATCAGTGATTGAGACTCACGAGCAGAGGCTCTGTAATAACAGTTTTCCTTTCCATTGATGACCGGTCATCCTGAGCCTCAGTTTCCCCTCTGTAACATCACCTATGCATGATGAACCGTACACACAGCGTAGCTGGGGTTGAATGAGATGAAAATACACGCAGTCCTTACAAGGCCCTGGAACCTGTAGGACAAAAGAAAGCTTAAATGGAGAAGTACTCTGTGGTTAGCTCAGACAGGGCTGCAGAGCCTGGTCTGTTTAGGAATGACACTTGGTGACTGCCCTGGGCTGCAATCACATATAAGGTAATTCTTATAATACATCTACCCCCCATCCCAAAAGTCAACTTGTTAATGAGGGAGCAGAGAAGGCTTTCCAGAGAAGGTGGCATTTGAACTGAGCCTTGAACAATGTCAAGTTTGCCCATGAAGGGACAGAGATTGGGAGGTAGGATATTCTTGGATAGTCTAGAGTCGAGACGAGCACTTGGTCTCTGATGTCAGACAGCTTAAATCCAAATCCCAGGTTCCTGTGTGGCCTTGGCATGTTCCTTAGTTTCCATTGTCTCATCCGCAAAATGGGTATTACTCTGGGATGGGTGTTATGTGAGGTTTGAATTGCATTAATCCCAGAAGGTTTCAAGCTGTCTCGGGAACAGAGCTCAGGGGCGCCTGGGTGGCTCAGTCCGTTAAGCGGCCAGACTCCATCTGGGCTCAGGTCTCGATCCCAGAGTCTCTCATGATTGTGAGTTCAAACCTGAGTTGGGCTTCATGCTGGGCTGGAAGCCTACACAAAAAAAAAAAAAAAAAAAAAAAAAAAAGGAACAGAGCTCAGATGGAAGCCCCAGGTGTTACTAGTAGAGGGAATGCCTAGGGAAAGCCTGGAGGGGAGGGTGTGTTTGGGGAATGGCTGGAAGTGAAGCTGGAAGAGTCCACATGGTCAAACAGGGGAGCCTGGGCACCATTACCTTGCATGCTCTACGAGTGGCTCCCAAAAAGTGTAGAAGTAAGAAAGCCTGGAGGTTGAGCCCATTAGAAGCCAAGACGAGGGCTACAAAGTATTTTTAATTTGTTTTTCAATTAGTAATATATTCACCTGTACCTTTTAAATTCTTAACCAAGAGTCACCTCCTACCCCTGGCTCCTCTCCCTGGAAGCTATAAAACTTGTCGTTTGTGTCCTTCCACAGAAAGAATATAAACATACATAACCAAATGTAGTGTAATAAAAATATGTATATATATTTGGTCTTAGTCCCTGGTTCCCGGTACAGAGTTACTAAAACCCTTACAATGTTCTGAGTCATAGGAGTGACTTCTGTTATTCACGGTGAGCCCCTTTGGGCCACACCTGAATTTGTGTTAATGAGGCAACTCAGGGTGGGGCCCCCACTTATCTTCAGAGTGGGGGCTGGTCATCCGAAAGACCAGTCAAGAGTGGGAAGTGGAGGAGAGGAGAGGACTGGACATTGGAACATTTCTGGGTTGATGAACAGAGACTGTACCCGGGCGGGGGGGGAAGGGTGCCTAGAAAGGCCAAGGAAGCTCTTTCCCCCTCTCCACCATACCTTGCCCTACACACCTCTTCTATCTGGCTGCTTCAGGGTTGTATCCTTTATTTTTTTTAATTTTCTAATGTTTATTTTAGTTTTGAGAGAGACAGACACAGCGTGAGCGGGGGAGTGACAGAGAAAGAGGGAGACAGAATC